GAGTGAGAAGATTTTCACTGAGCTGACCGTTCTGATCCAGAAGAGAAGTGTTGATCTGAAAGAGCAGATCAGATCCCAGCAGAAAACAGAAGTGAGTCGAGTCAAAGAGCTTCAGGAGAAGATGGAGAAGGAAATCGCTGAGCTGAAGAAGAAGGATGCTGAGCTGAAGCAGATCGCTAAAATGGAGGATCACAACCAGTTTCTGCAGAGCTACATCTCCCTGTCAGCGCGCAATGAGTCCACACACCCACCCAGCATCAACGTTCGTCCTCTGAACTACTTTGATGATGTGACAGCCGCTGTGTTGGAGCTCAGAGATAAACTACAGGACATCCTGAGTGACACATGGACAAACATCTCACTGACACTCAATGAGGTGGATGTTTTGCTCTCAGAACCACAACCAGCACCGAAGACCAGAGCTGACTTCTTAAAATATTCAAAACCAGTTAATTTTGATCTGAACACTCCAAACAGATATCTGTTTTTATCTGAGCGAAATAGAAAAGCAACTTTATCAACAGTAAAGCAGTTTTATCTTGATCATCCAGAGAGATTTACTGATAGGCTTCAGGTGCTGAGCAGAGAGAGTCTGACTGGACGATGTTACTGGGAAGTGGAGTGGAGAGGTAAAAGAGTAGATCTGGCAGTTGCATACAAAAGTATCAGCAGAGCAGGAAATGAAAGCGACTTTCGCTACAATGACAAATCCTGGTCTTTATACTGTAACACAGAAGGGTGTTTATTTTGGCACAATAGATGTAAGACATTTGTGTCGAGTTCAGTTTCCTCCAGAGTAGGAGTCTACCTGGATCACCGAGCAGGTATTCTGGCTTTCTACAGCATCTCTAGTACCATGACTCTCCTTTATAGAGTCCAGACCAGATTCACTCAGCCGCTACATGCTGGAGTTGGTTTTTATGAGGATGGAGCAGTTAGGTTGATTGTACTGAAATAGTAAAAAAAATGAAATCAGGTAAAACCCTGTAGAAGACTTGTGTTACAAATGTGCATGTTTATGTTGTACCATTTCAATGATTACTTTTGCTTGGACGGACTGCACTGGTGTTGTGACAAACAAATTATTGACATGTCTTCATTTATATATATATATATAGCTTTGGCCTTTTTCCTTTATATCTCCCTGTACTTTTAACCTCAACATGTATAGGATCTTACTGCCGACCCCCTAGTAAAATATGCTCTTTCCAAGGTAACACTTAGTTTGGGAAGGAAAAGTATTCAAGTAGTTCTTCTCATACATGGTATTAGCTACAGAATGAGCTAGATTAGGTTGTCTGAGCAGTTTAAACAAACGCTAAACATTTTAAATAGTCAAGATCTGAATGTATATAATTGATTTTACTACCTTGCCGAATATATTTTTTATTTTATTTTCCTAATTTTCACTAATCATTTCATAATCAATGTTGTGATCTCAAAAGTTTCACAATATGAGTATTTTTATGTATAGTGCCTTTAATTTCTGTTTTTTGTTTTCTAGATCACCCTTGTGAATAAAAGTTTGCCTGAACTGGTCATTCCTAAATAAATTAGTTAATCATAAAAGGTCTGTTATTGCATGCTCAAACAAGAACTGGAGGACAGCACTTTGCTGCTACCTACTGGCCAGAGTTTATCCTAACAACATGTAGAAAAAGGTGAAATCCAATGTTTATTTGTGTTCTTTCGGCTGTCTCCTTATTCAGTGGTGGCCACAGTAAGTCATTATGATTAGCAAGTCAGCTTTGCAAAGTTTTAATGCTCAATGCTTTCCTGACCCAGCAGGGATTCGAATGAATAACAAGTTATAATATATTTTTTCAAAAGTTAACTCATTTTGATAAGTGAGACACATTATATAGATTGTTTATATCCTCATCTATTTTTTAAGCCATAAGTATGTCAGTTATCATAATTTGTCATTTATAGCCAATAAGAGCACATTTCAGATTATAACATTACCATATAGAACCAAAAACAATACACAATGCTTAATAATGTTCATGTTTTAAATACTGAAAATAATTGGACCATGATCTCCAACTTCTGAAATGATTGTTTTAGGCCCTGAAAGTAGAACCCTGGAAAAGTGTCCTGTAAGGTCTGTGAATTCTAGAAAGCATTGAATAAGTTCCAGAAGCGACTTTTTAAAGCTTTATTACAGACACAGGAATCTAGTCTATAGTAGTAACTCTGGAAGTCCTTCAGTTCAGGAATATAACCTTTAAGGTCTGGAACAGAAACATATGGAATGGGTTACTTTAATATAATTATTATTCTCTCATACTGTAAAAAGAAAGTACAAACCACCCAATTTATTTCTATCAGGAATGTATTATGTGTTTTCTTTGTTCCATTTTGCCAATAAACGAGAAATGAAATGATGAAATCTATGAAGTGTTGCACTCTTGATATCAGTTTTATATAATCTTACACACAAAACAACATGGAATTAACCTCAAATTAGAGGAAGTCATGCTTTTGTTCACTAGCTCTGCAAGTTTTAGCTAAGAATGTGTCATAGTGGAAGTTTGAGAAACTTTTTTGGTAAAATCAGCCAAATTTTTAACTGTCAATGAAAATCACTTTAAAAGACCACTTCAGATTAATTTGTTTTTGATATTTATTTCTGTTATTTATTAAAACATACCTGCATATATCCTAATGGTTTCACTGCTGTAACCGTACCATACCACAGAGGCGCCTGTGTGTGCATGTGTTTATCAACAGCCACATCTGTCAGGTCTGAAGCATCCACACAGACCTCTTCTGTTCCTGCAAAGCGGCTCTTCTGGGCTTCATTCATTTGCTCTCACAGAGAAGTGTTTTGCCCTGCTCAGACACCTTCTCTGAATGAATGTGTCTGCCTAGCTAACAACTTCCTGTGGCCGGCTGCAGACATGTTTTTACAGCTCGTGGTGACGGACACAAAGCCTTCTTTGAGATGTGGAGTCTAAGAACATGCAGCAGAGGAACACAGGAGATGAGAGGTCACCATTCTTGAATTTATTCTCTTCCTTGGAATACATGCCGCTGAAACATTTCATGTTGTACAACTTTTAGATCGTTCACACACAGAAACACATCATTATAAGGTTCTTTCTTTGCCTCTCGTGATTTTTTTTTACATGTTTAAAAACTAAATGCATATCACTTAGTCTAATATTTCTTGGAAAGATTAGGAGTCAGCTCTCTCTTATTAGGGAAATATTTCCAGGTAGTTTTGTACAGATTCCAGAGAGTTTAAAGTCTGGAGGCTTTGCTGTGTTGTTTGTAATTCCAACCTAAAACAAGAGAAAGAAATATACTTAAGACATGATTTTATGCATTTAATATGTGAAAAAAAAAACGTACATGTTCCCGTTGTCCTGATTTTTCTTTACCCACCTAAATGCATCTCAGTTTTGGAACCAGCCGATGACGTAGCTGCAGAGGCCGTGGAAGCTCTTCCAGCAGTACTCTGTAGCAAGGCGTGACACCTTAGATTCAGGTTCCTCTGTGGGGAGCGTAGTGGTCTTCACAGGCTTGATGGTACTTTTCTTGCTCTGGGAGCCCTTGCCCAGCTGGGGTTTACCTTTTTGAGGCTTCATAGTGGGTTTGATTTGTGTTGGTTCTGCTGGCTTATTTTGCTCCTGGACAGGCTTTGAAGGCTTGGGAGCTGAAGTCTTTGGCCATGAGTTTAGAAAAGTCATTTGAGCCTCATCAGAATATTTCCTGCACATATGTGGTCGGTAGATCTTGGCTCCCTGGCAGGAGTTTTTCAGTTTCCGCAGCTCCCACATCATCTGGGTAAAGTAGTGGCGAGGATTGTTGTTGTAGGCTCGGCATTGGGTTGGTTTTCCCTGGAAGTCGCAGTAGTAGGACCGTCCTGTAGTCTGGCTTGGGGTTCTGCAGGACACGCGCACACGAGTAAAGTTTCCTGCTACAGACACTGCCATGGTGCATGAGTCCTTTGTCTTGGTGTTGAATCTGATGGTGTCATCCCAGATGTTGGGCTGCTGCTTCTTGCTGTCATTGCTGCTGTCGCTGCTGAGAGCATTTGAGACACAAACAAATGCAACCAGAGGCAGCAGCAGCATCATAACTTTCATCCTGCTTCTCATAGCAAAGTTTGGATCTGACCTGCTGCGGGAACTGCTCTGCTTGCTCCAAAGGTAAAGATAGGAGAGGCTACAGCAGGAAAATGCAACTTTACAAGCTGACGTATGGTTTATTAATGATTGGGGCTTACTTAAACTCCTCCTTCGCTTGCTCACGCAAACATAAGGTACATGTGGCATGTTTAAACCTCAGAAAATGATTGACGAGATGGCTGGTAGGAGGGGAAGGGATGGAAACCACAGGAGGATATGGAGAGCTAATGAAGAGTAAGAGGCGTAAGAGACTTACACATGAGACCAGATGGTGGCATAACAGGAGGACCATTGACCATTGATGAGGAGGAGAGCAGCAGGAGTTTGCCCTCTTTGCAGATTTTATCTGGGTTGTTTTTTCACTTTTTTACATCTTTAAAATCATTAAACTAATTTTGAAATCAGATCAAAATAGCTTGAGTTTCTTGAAAAGGGTCTTTTCAAGAAACAAAATTGAATTGAAAACAAAAATTGCCAATAAGCACTTGAAATAACTACCCAATGAGTTTTTTTTCACAACTCTTTTACCATATCTTCAAGATTTTCTGCAAAAAAGCAAAAGTCATTGTTTTATAAGTTATGGCAAGTCTTCCAGGGGATGAAGCAATAAAACAACTGCAGATAGTCACACTGCTACCACCATGTTTAATGTGGTCTGTTTCTGAAATGATTGATTTTATGTATAATGCAACAATTTTTTGCATTTACTTAGTCATATTTATTCACTTTAACACATTTTTTTCATGTTAGCATGGTCGGACATAGAACAATTGTGTGGAAGTAACTAAATATGATTAAGAAGCTAGATCCTAAAAACAGTTGTATTATTTTTTTCAGTGCTGAAACTGTTTTCTGGATTGTTTCTGGTTCTGAACCAAATTAACCAATAAAGCATGAAGTGTAGGGACTGTATAGTGATGCATGAAGTCGTTAATGTATGGCTAAAGTAGTTTTGATAACCTATAAATTTAGACCATAAGTTCTTGCAGTTGAATGTTTTTTTCATTTTCTTAAATCATCAGTCTAAAATCACTTATTAGTGTCACCAAACAGGTAAAGACAGCACTAAGCTAGGAAGACCACCAGTATTTGGCATCATTTTATGTTAATTAATGTTAAAGTTTTTTTAAAGTTAAGGAGAATTCTTTATCCGGAGCTCCTCAGAAATTTCCAGCACAAGCCTCCCGTCTGGGGTCTTTGGGGATTTATACATCAGCAGGCATGAGTTCCAGCAATGTTTCTGCCTCCCGGAAACCATCAGAGCAGACTGTTTAATTTGGCCTCACAGGGTGGTCTGCCAGTTTTTCTTTCAAGATGCAGATCCTGACTACCATACTTGTCCCCTTACATGTGGTTTCAATGACGTAATCAACCTTAATTTGACTTTATGGGCAGATGTTTGATCTTTTTTAGGAATAAGGAAGCTACTGTATTATAAGGATAGGGACTAGAGAATTGAACGGCACTGGTCTCTTTGCATTAGAGGGATGTGTTAAATTGTGAGGGATTGAGGGATAGCACAGCAGAAATAACTTGTTATACAAAGAAATGCAGTCACTTTTAGGGGGAAACTTCTGAGCCAGAAAAGCTTTAAAACAACTTAATGTTAGTCACAGAAGTACATTCTCTATGTAAAGTTTATTTGTGAGCATTTTTTGTTTTAACTCAAACCAAAATGGCTACACAAAAGTAACTGAAGTAAAATATTCCTGACAATATAATGTTATGGTCAAGTTTGTCTACTAAGCCTAATAGAAAACAGCATCACAAACTGAAACATCAGGAAATGTAAAATAATAATCTGACTGAATCTATTATTTGAAGGTGGGCTTCATAAATTATATTTATGATGCAAATCAGCACAGAACTAATCCACAAGAGACAAATTAATTTCCTGCATGAGTAGCGCGGCCCCATGATGCCATACGGGTAACTGTGGGTGAGCTGGCCAGACAAGAGCATTAGAGAAGACCAAGGATGTTCGAATGAGATAGTGTGAAGAGGAATGGTGAAATATCCCTCTGTTTGTATTTTTCAGCCTAATAAACTGAAGTAGGCTTTGTTTAAATTAAAAACACATGCACTTCTTTAAATGTAGCTAAACCAATTTGAGTTAGATTTGTTTTGATACTGCCTATACAGTAATTTGAGTTGTTTTAAAACTGATGAATGATTACATTAAAATGAAATTAAGCTCTCAAATGCTTTGAAGGAGAGAAAGTGTTGTTCCAATGGACAAAAGTGGGGCATGCAAACTATCAACAGCAGTGGTGCTAGTAAACTCTTGTACATGGGATTTCTAAAAACAGTATTAACTTTAGAATTTCCAATCATTAATAATTAAATATGTGTTACTTTTGTTAGTCATTCACGTTTTGTTTTAATAACTGTTCAAATAACATTGACAAGAATACAAAAATACAATGGGTTTAAAAAAAAGTATTGGTTTGTAATTTCAAGCTTAAACCAAATATTCCGTGTTTTAAAGGATTTAAAGCAGTGTGGTTAATAATGACTGTAATAAGTCATAAAATTAGCAGAGAGAAGAGTAGAAGCTCTTCGCCTCAGGAACTGGACCCTAAATGGCTGCATTGAGAAGAAACAGCATCTGTATATGTAAACAGCTCTATGCCTTAACTAAACCATGTGACAAAACCCACTCAGTAAGGTCATCATTTGCATGAGGATCATTTCAACACACCTAAACCCTCATGCCAATAATTGTATTTTTGCCTCTTGTCTTTTTAATCGAAACAAAACTGCTTTTTTAGTCTTTCATTATGGTTCATTGCAGAGAGTCAGATTCAGTGGTAAGAGTTAATGATGCATACGCCAAAATTAAAACCTTAAAATAGAAGAAAAAACATAACAAAGACTTGGTCGACTGAAGTTTTTATTCACAAATCTGCAATTTCTGAACAAAATTCATAATTTCTTTGGTCCCTAGACCTCTGTTGTCATGGCAACATGGTCTAGCAAAAGCTTGCTGTGCTAACTTTATGTGTTAGCTGTCCTTAGCATATGAGTATGCTAAAAAGCTGACTGTATTGTTTGGTATTAGATCAACTCTGAAGCTGCCAATGATCTTATTTAGTATTTAAAGGCATAGTTTAATATTCTGGGAATCCAATTTGTGGATCCTGACAGGGTTAGCTGAGAGAAGAGATGTCCAAAATTGAAAAACACAAAAACTGAATGAATGTGTTTAGAACAGAACAGAAATCTTTAAACCATTTAAATTGTTTTAAATTATCTCAAATAAAATACATAGTCTCAGTTTATCTGTTATCTGTAATGTACCTTCACTTGGAAAGCACAGTGGTGGAAATGTTAAGCTTTTGTCTGGCAAACAAGTACATTTAATTGAAATGCATTTTTATGCAGACATTCGTGGTGACTGAAAGAAAAGTTAAAGCTCTGGATCAAACATAGTTCTCATAAAGCCAATATCTGGTTATACTTCTAATATTTACGTAGAATATTACAATTATTTGTTATTTTGTGCTAATTAAACACAAAAGTGTCTAATTATTTACCGAAACTATTGGCCTGACTGTGATTTTTTTATATTTTCTCCTAAAAATCTACGCAGTCAATCATCCAAAAATAATTTAAGCTATGATACAAATACCCAGAGAGAAAAAAACAACCAAACAATAAATCTACAAAAAAAACAACACTAACATTATATAAAACCAAAAATAAAAGATATATAAAACTTTCAAAAGTTTTGAAAGTGTAAAAAAAATGTACATCTCAGTTGTTGTGGTTGAACTGATGTACATAGAATTTCATTCTTTACAAGTCAGTGTTGATATGCAGGAACTGAGGGATTTCTACAGCATGGATAGCTAGAAGGACGCTGGAGCGATCAAGAGAGGATTTTATAGGTTTGCAGATGGCTGCCATCTGAGATCTGTTTAAACAAGATAAGGAGTGTTCCTGATTCTTGGCTTTTCTTATCTTCAATGGATCAATAAGCTGAAAAAAATCCCAGCAATCCTGGAAAAAGGACAAGAAAGGGAGCAATTTGTTATATTCTCCATTACTAAGAAGAATATGTAAGTTTAAAAAGTGAGAACTCACCTTTCCAGGACAGATCAGTTCCAGCTCTCCTGCCCACTGCGGAGGAGAAGACATCAAATCAAACACGGTGCATTGTGCAAAAACACCTCAAATTTTAACTTTTTTAACATTGGCTGGAAACCTCTTTTTTGTTAGTGCTCAGAATGAGGCCAAAAATGATTTCCTTCATTGTTTTACGAGGCTGACAAGCTCTTTTAGGTGTTTTCTGATCAGAATAAATACCAAGACTCCAAGCTTGTTTCCTCATTTTTGAATTCTCCTACTCTCTCTGTCTGCTACTTTTCATCTTCATTCATTAGTTTTTTTTACTAAATCATTGTTTATTTTAATTTAATCATCACTATACATCATTATTTATTTCAGTTTGATAGAACCTCTTGTTGATTCTTATATGTATCTTTCATTTGGTAATCTGTAAACCTTTAAAATAAACCTTTTTTAAAAAGTATTGTTTTTCCTGAGGAGTCACTTTTGGCTGCACAAAGAGTTTTTTTCAGTTCATTTCTATTCTGCTTCCTGTGTGTGGTGACGAAATAAACATTCCAGCCACGCTTGTTCAGTTCTAGTTGGTTTAAACATTCCATCATTGTTCTGAGTCTAAATACAGCCATTATGCAAGCAGTCATTTTCTTTTTTAGCCCTTTCCTCATATATGGGGATCAGCTATATCTGCTTTCAATAGAATGTTTTCTTATCTTTCCCACTTAGCAGGCTTGGTAAGAGAAAGTCTCTGATTCAAAGTCATAATTGCACCCAAGGGAAGCAATTGGTATGAATATCGTCAACGCTTCAGTGAACCTTATTGTAGGGATGTTGTAAGGATTGACCAACCACCGGTGTTACTGCATTTCTTAAACAAACCATTATTTCCTCATGTGGGGTGTGCTCCCTGCTTAATAAACTTATTTAAAGATTCGCTTTTTCCACCTTTTTCAGGCTGGACATTTTTTAAGTTTTTGTTTTTATCATCTAAACTTTGAGGGACGCAAAAAGGCAAATTATCAAGGAACCACTTTTAAAGGCTTGTTGTGTCTAATTCTTTAGTAAAATCCTAAACAAATACTAAAGATAGGCTGGTTTAACAAGCATGAAATATTTAGGAGAGGTGACTTTAAAATGCATCCAATTGTCAACTTTACTAATTTTAAATAAATGAAAGATGCCTAATTTTCTCTGACTTATCTACTTAATAAGGTCATTACTTATATCTGGCTGCTTGGAAGAAATTGGCACATTACTCTCTGAGATTTAACTGATGTTGCATCATGGAGCGGTGTTGATGTATGCGAGTCAGATGGACCAGTTTTTATTTATCTTTTCACTGCAATCTTTAAGAAAAGACAACAGATCAAGAAGGTGAGAGTAGGTATTAAAAATAAAAAAGGTGATGTTTCTCATCAGGAGAATGATACCAAACTGAAGACGGTTTGATGCTGAGTGGCCGATGGGCGGTTAGTGAAGTTAGGTGACCATTAGATGGAGGTTTTCACAGGTTGTAAATACCTCTAATAAGGAAGAGCGTTCCTGAAGGTCACCATTCACTTGGTGGAGCTGAGGCCCGAGGGAACCAAGTCAATGTTTCATTATAGGGAGAGCTAAACACACACATGGACATGTGGAAGTCCTTATTACTGTCTTTAAAGTAATATTCTTTGAAACTTTTTTTCTGGGCTACAGATGAAATCCCCTTCACCAATTAATCCTTCCGCATGCAGACGAGCAGAGTTTCAAATAGAGCACAGCTCATACCTGAGCGGGGCGACGTTTCCTCTGTGATCACACACCTGTTTATCGTGATTATGTGTTTTAGCCCTACTGCAACACAAAATGGAGGGGGATGAAGATGAGAGCAACAACAGAAACACCCTCCTGATGCTAAAAAGCGTGAATTCATCCAAAGAAAGTTTATGCTGAGAAGTAGCAGGCAAGATAGGTAGGAAAGGTGTGATATGGTCCAAAATATCCCCTTAAGAAATGCGGGGATAAAAGGGAAAGGCAAAAAAGGCAAAAGTAAAGCTATAAGAAATTAGAGTGCCACAAGCCATGGGTAAGAGTATCTGGAGAAAACACCAGGATTGAATGAAAGGAAAATCCAAGAAGAAGAAGAATTATGGAAAGAGACAGAAAATATGACAGATTAGTTTCGTTTTGAGCTGAAAATGCTCTGAATCTCCGATAGCAGAAGTGAAAATATTTCCATCTGTAGCTGTCCAAGAAAAAATGATGCACTCACTCTTCAAAGACGTCCTCTGTGTCCATCCGTCTGTAGTATTTGGCCAGTTTGATGGAAAAGATAATGCTGGGAATCAGAAGGATGCAGCAGGCTCCCAAACCCATCCAAAATGTGTTCTGAAAAACAACAACACGAAACTGTTAGGTTTAATGCTGAGTTAAAATATGCATTTATTTAGATTCATAATTATAGAGGTAGATTTGTAAAGCTGTGGGCTCCATCAAAGAAAGAATCAGGTGGGGGTAATCCTGCAGCAGGACACCAACAGGCCGATAACAGAGCGGTTCTAGGTTAACAAGCTCCAGTATGCTCATCAGAAAGTTATCATCTTAGAAATACAATAATAAGAAATTATTTGTTTATACCTTCTAATGAATATTGTACCTAATAGCATTAAATAAAATGGCTGGGGGTAGATTTAGCTCTGCAGAGATCTGCTAATAAGTTATTGTATGATTCATTTGTGTTGGGTTGCATCTAAAAGCAGCAGGACATTAGAGGCTAAGAACTGGACTTGGACGACCCTTGACATCTTTCATGAGTGTAGCAAAACTTTTAAAATAAACCATATCTTTTACACTAGAAAAATATCCAAATAGAAAACAAGTGAAGAAAACATCTAATCTAATTCCATGGCATTCAAGAGGAAAAACCCAGATCATCACAGATCCTCTATTATAGCTAAAAGATAACAGGAGGCGATTCTCCCTGTTTATTTTTTTTTCTTTCTTTCACATATTAAAATGTATAAACTTTAAAATGTATTCAGGAACAAACTGAGCTCAAACACAGAGAAAAGAAGGAACTTGTTTCGTTAGATTGTACCAGCTCTATGCTAATACAAACATCAAACGAGGAAGACTAACGTTTGAACTTTCTAAAAATTACCAATTTCTTTCAATCTGAATTTTGAATTCTTACCAATTTAAAATTGACTGATTTAGCTTTGCTGAAGCTGCCAATAAATCAAAACCAGAATCAGTTGTAAAAAAAGAACTTTAGCTTCACATGCTCACAGTGTGCAGCTATTCAATGTAAATGTTAAGTTTTAGAAAAAGGAAAAGAAAAAAAGTATGTTATATAGATGTGAGTTTGTAAATCCAAATCTTTTTTAAAGGTAAAGTAGCTGACTGCTCTGACTATAAGGTGTTGATCAGAGAGACAACCTAGGGAAATTATAATTGATAACAAACTGATAGGTTAATTGAAGATATGTGGTATGTGTTAAAACGTTAGCATTTATAGGAAGCTTCCAATGGTCCCTTAGCAACAGCTCAGTTGGCTCGTGCCGGCTCTGGATGAGATCACAAGATGCCTCCTGCAAGTTAAGCACAGTCTGATGGCTGCTACTGAGGCTTGGTGACCCTAAACTTAAGTGAGGTTTATAACTAACTTACTCTTAAAAATAAATAAATTATAAATAATTAAATAATAATACAGGTTCCAAAAATGTTAAAAAAGTTTGAAGACATTTCGTTTCCCATCCAGGAAGCTTTTTCAGTTCAAAATGAATTGAATTTTTCAAAAGAAAATTAATTTTGAATTGAAAACAAAGGAAACAAAGTCCAGTGGATTGTTTTTTTTTACTTTTTTGGAATGACTATGACCTGGATGTCTGAGAATCTCCACCAGCAATAATAAAGGTGTATTGTTAAACTGTTGAAATGTAGGTATAAAACAAACATAAATTAATAACGAACTCCCAAAGTGGATTTTTTTAAATTACTTTACAAAAACTGAAGTTTGATTTTAAGATGATAAGCACTGTAAAAACAAATGTTACCAGAGGTGTCAAAAGTATAAATGTTTCTTACTCAAGTAGAAGTATACATTCTACTGTTTCAAAACATTTAGAACTTGGAGTATAAACTTCAGCTTCTTACTCAAATAAAAGTGTAAAAGTACCATTTTAAAACTACTTTAAGCATAAAAGGAAAAGTAATGCTTTAAACCTTATACTTGTTACTGCACTACCCTCTTAAAGGAACATGTTTCAAAAATTCTGAATGATAACTTCCTTATACTTAATTTTCTTAGTTTTATAACTAATGGAAAAAGGGTCAAATTTAACTTTGCATCATCTTGAAAGCGATCAGTCAGAGTTACTGTGAGCACACACAGAAAGATCCACAATGAGTAATTACCACTGAGTCGATGATGAAGCTGCATGCCACGATCTCCATGCTGTCCACCATGTTGCTGATGGGTTTACACTGGGCTACCTCTGCTGTTAGCTGCAGGGGGATAAGGACACACAATATGAACATTGTTGAGTCCCAGGGTATTGCTGGAAGTTGCTGTTCCTGGAGAAACCAACTTAAATCAACAGATGAAATGTCCCGGGAAATTCCTGGAGTGGCTGCTTCTGGCCAACAGCATAACATCTAAATAAACTCCAGGAAGTCATTAGAACCCTGTCTATACAGTAAGGCCACTTTAATGTGAACAGTGGGCCTTTGTGCATTTTCCCCCCATCTAGACTCAATCAATAAAAAAGCAAACATACATCTTTGAAATGATTTGTAAAATACTCACCGAGTTTTTAACCCATTCAGTGTACTGCTTGAAGTAACTCACAAGGCTCTGCACAAAGGCCTTGGTCTCCTGCAGACCAGCAGAGAACCATGTTAGAAATGACAGACTTCAGTAAAAACATTCTTTTAGATAAAAGGATGTAATTAAACCAGAGGTTTAATAATGGTTCAGCAGAGAATAGAAATATAACATTTTAAGAAGGCTTAAATTATGACAAAGAGAGATTTCCTTTTCTTGTTTCTAAACAGACCTGAGCGACCCCTCTGAATTCATATTTTGCTTTCAAAGAGTCAGACATTTCTTTATCTTTAAAGAGGGCTTGATCAACAGCTCTAGACCTTCTGCAGTTTTTCTATTGATGCTGCTTTCCCAACCTTTTACAACCAAATGCTAAATGTTTAAACAAATGTGTAATTATTGAGATGCTCCACTTGTACCAACAAACTGTTTAGGAATAAAAACATGAGCTTAAAAAATGAGCCAGTGTTCCTTCAGAACATTACAGAAAACAGAACAAGCTACTTCCAGACTGTGTCTGCTCATAACATTAAAGTCCTATCTGAAAATGAACTGAAGTTAAATCCCTTTTAGAAAACAAAGTATATTAAGCACACGTATTTCCTATGATGTGCCAGTGTCTTTTTTTGTTCAGAGAGAATTGATATATCTTTTCATTATTTTTATTCCTAGTTTTGACGCCCACTCCGTCAACTAGAAATAGAAGCTACCTAATATTAGCGAAGAAGAATGCCCAGTAGTGTCTGCGCAACCATCTGCTTGTGCTGCAGCCTTCATAAGGGTGGCTTAAAGTCAAACATAAATGTGACCAGTTGGATATCTGCCGGAGTCATCCTGGTTTCCTGAGGGAATCAGTTCTAAATCTAAATTCGTAGAACAACTTCTGCAGGGAGAATGGAGCCACCTTGTTTCCTACGCATTCTGGATAGAGTGAAAAGCATTTAAACCTAGATCTGCTGAACTTATGAATAATTTTTAAAATAACTTAATCTGTTGATTATTACAGTTAATTTGGAATCTCTTTCATATGATACAATGAAAATTAGTATGATATGTGATTGTTTATTGGTCCATAAAACAATATAAACTCTGTCAGGATGCCTTCCTGCTGTGCTGCTTTTTCCTTCAGCTCAGACTCTCAGCTTAGTGTCACAGCCACAATCAGGTAAATAAAATAATAGTCATATACGGCATAAGCATCGGTAACATCAGAAATTAGATATATGAAAATGTGTTTTAATTATGTTTTCAAACAAAAAGCTCCACAGGAAAATGTTACTGTGACATTATGTTACAGTTCATAGGTTTGAGATTGATATACTGGATGAAAGAACAGTGATCATTTATAAAAATGTTTACACAAAGCTAGATGTTCATGGAATTCCATTTCATTGGGAAGTTCAGACTAGTTCATCCAGCCAGAAATCTGGTTCGCCAGCTCATTTATAACAAACTCTATGAATCTTCTCCTTAAAAGAATTGAAACGACAATCGATGGGAGCCGGAATTGCTCTAATTCAAATGTCAAAGGTCTAAAATTCAAAGAATGCTGTTGAGTAGAGAAAGAGTCAGCTACTTTTTGCCATATCACTGAATTGTTGTTTGTCTATTCGAAATAGGTTCCTGGCCATTTTAGTTCAACTGTGAATGCCTTAGTGCCCCCAAGAGGTCAAATAAATATTTAGAAAATCTCTGACATCTAAGAGCCTGCTTCTTCACCATGTCCTTCACTCTGAGCATTCAGCATGAAATTATTTACCTGAAGCAGTGCATCTCCAACATTATGGAAACACCTGAGATTCTTGCTGAATGTGTTACAATACTTCATCATCAGAAACTGTCCCATCATTCAGTTTACATGTTATGATCTAGCTGCATTTTCTGATAAACTACAAACAGTGCTTTAGCAATGAAGACATTCCAAAAGAAATGTCAGGTAGTTTTGTTTTTGAGGTCTGACACCTCTGTTTTTCTTCAAATGTCCACTTCTACCATCTCTTAAGGATCTAAAGCCGTTCACATTTCTCTTCATTCAAAGAGCAACCTTTAAAGATCTTCAGAAAGCCCATCTAAGTAATTGTTAAGTGAAAAGAAAGTCTGTTTCTTAAGAAACAAAATATAAAGAAAAAAAATTCACCATTACAGCAAAAAAATAGACAATTTTGTTATGAAAAAGAGTGATATTGGCAACAACTGGTAAATTAAAAATAAACAAAAACAGACTTTTAAAGCAAATGACACACAGATCTGGGTGCTAAATTCAAATCACTTCATACTAAGCATGTTCTTATTTGCAAGTTGCTGTTTTCTTTACCTGTTTAACAACATGTGAAGCATTGTGAGTTATGAGGTACTCCGCTGCATCAATGGCACTCAGAATGTTTGTGACTTTCATCTGAGACACAAAGAGGAACTCAGCTCATCTGAGCACAATCAACTCATTCCAGCATAAACTGCTCTTATGCTGACAGTTTTACCCACAGGCAGGTCGTTGGATGTCCTCTGCAGCAGTTTGATGCTCTGGCTGAGGGTGCTCTGCAGGAGGACACAAAAACCCAAAACGTTTAAAGATTTCTTTTATTAATAAAGGCACACCTAAACAGCTGGGTGTCACCCAGAGCTTAAAAATGTTGGTATTGTCACTGGAACATATGACCCACGTTATCACAGCACAAACACAGACAGAAAACACCTCGCAGCAGCTTACCCGCGCTCTGACATATTTCTTTTACCAAAGAGCGCAAGAGGAGAAGGAAGAAGAAGTTAAAAGAAACTTAGAAGATTTAATAATGTAAAAACAAGCTGTGACTGAAATGCACTGTAGCTCTTTAATATAAACAATATCAGTGTGCAACTCGCTCCTTTTTTAAGCTTTTATCTAACTGCATAGTTTAAAGTGAAATTAGAGATGTAAAAGGAGTCGTCTCTATGTATTCAAGAAGTCCAGGTTTGGTTGCTTACCATTGCTTGCTCCAGGGGAACCACCTGCTCCCTGTGGATCGTTCTGATGCTGCTAGCGTGTCCCTTCAATGCGTTCTCCAAAGCTCCACGTGGCTTTAACGCACAAATAATGTAGGATGAATAAGAATGCAGAAACTACACACTGATTTAAAGATCCCAAAGGTAAATGATCCACATATAGCACTGTGCCATGATCAGATTAGACCAAAATAAAGCTCTTTGATATAAACTCAACCTGCTGTGTTTAGAGGAAAATAATTGCTAGATATGTCTTAAAAATCAGTAAACCAGCAGTCTATACCGTAGATGATAACACTATGATTTGGGGCGGTTCAGTGTTGTGCATGAAATGTGTCAGGGTTCTGCCCTCTGTTTAAGTTTATTTTTAGTTTCTTGTATTTGAGTTACTCTCCGTTGCCCCCTTGTGTTTGTTTCCTTTCCCTTTGGCGTCCTTCTAGCTTCCATCCACACCTATTCCCTGTCAGCTCATTAGTCCAGTCTTTGTTCTCTCCTATATATGCTCTCCCTGTGCAGTTCCTCAGTGCTGATTCCACCTCTTTTCCTGGCTCCTCATGAATGTTTTCCATGGTGTTTCCTAGAT